TTGAACTTGACGTCTCAGATTGATCAACTGAAGAAGATGCAATTCTATCATTCTCACTGTGTATCTGATTAACTTCATGAGTACTAGAAGTCTGAGTAACAGGGACATGAACTAAAATGGGAGAATGTGTAGCCTTTTGATCAACCACTGGAGCATTGACTTGGTGTTGTAACCTTTGTTTACCAGGGAACATCATCTCATTGTGTATGACATGTCGAGAAATAATGCATTTCTTGGACACTAGATCATAACATATTACACCTTTGTATCCTGAAGAGTACCCGAGAAAGACACACAATGTTGATCTTGTTTGAAGCTTATTAGAATTATAAGGCCTAAGCCAAGGAAACACAGCAGTTCCAAATGTTTTCAAGAATTTTAAGTTAGGAAGTTTCTTGTATAGCAGAGTATAGGGAGAAACCATAGATAGAGACTTGCATGACATTCGATTGATAAGAAATACTGAGTGTGCACAAGCAATATACCAAAACTCCAATGGTAGAGCAACATTAGTGAGTAATGTAATTGAAGTTTCAATGATATGCCAGTGTTTTCTCTCAGCAATTCCATTTTGCTGAGGGGTATATGGACATGACAGCATCTGAGCAATCCCTTTATCATCTAAGAACTTTGTAAAAGCATTACTAACGTACTATCCTCCCCCATCAGTTTGTAAACACATGACTGACACTCCATACTGGGTTAATACAAACTGATAAAACTTTACAAAAATAGAGAAGACATCAGATTTATTGCACATTGGAAGTACCTAAGTGTATCTTGTATATTCATCAGTAAACAGTACATAATGCCTATAGCCATCTACAGACTTTATAGGAAACGGTCCCCAAACATCAGAGTGAATCTTATCAAATGGAGACAAACATTTTTCAGTTCTTACATGAAATGGCAATCTAGACATTTTGCCCTGAATACACGATGTACAAATACTGTGCTTATCATCTGGTTTATATGATATACTACACTGTATTAACATACAAGAAAGTACTTCATTTGTAGGGTGACCCAATCTTTGATGCCACATATTTGACTTCACTAATTGACCAAGCAAAGCTGTTGTAGTGGGAAATGTAGACTGCACACCTTTAGCACTATGAAAAACTGGAATCTGAAACAACTCCTTAGGCCTACTCTTTCCGTGATACAGGACCTCCTTTGTCTTCTTGTCCTGTAAAAAGAAATTGGACTCATCACAAATAAACCAACTGTTATTATCAGCACATATTTGTTTAACAGACAACAAACTTCGAGCAATCTTTGGAACATGTAAAACATGAGTAAGTAATAAGGATTTGTCCTTTGTATGAAGAGTGGTAGAACCAGTGTTTTTTATTGATATACTAGAACCATTACCAATAGTAATTGTCTCATTTCCTTCATATGGAGCAACTGTGCTAAGGCATTAACATCAGCTGTCATGTGATGAGAAGCACCAGAATCCACTATCCATGAATCAGTAGGCATAAACTGGGATGACTGTTGTGCATTCAACGCAGTTATGGAAAACGGAGGGGATTGACTTTGATAGGAGTAGTTGCTTTGGTGATGACAATTAAGAGCAACATGACCCATCTTTCCACAAATTTGACATTCAATCACAAAACCAGAAGTTGAATTGTTGTTGTTCCTGTGAAAACAATTTGCTGATGTATGACCTCGTTTGTTGCAGATTTGACATTCAATCACTACATTCATCCTTGTGTCTGTGTTTCCCGACCAACCATTGTTATTTGAGTTCTGCCTATATCCTCCAGAATGAAAACTCTTCCCCTTGTATCCATTATTGGACCGGTAATTGTGTTGACCCTTAGAATTAGAGCCATTGAAAGATCTGAAACCAGAATTTGAGCTTTGATTTCTTGTATCTGAATAAGAACCAGAATTTTCGAAGAAACCAAAACCGTATGGTGCAGGAGTATAAAATATATCAGGTGGTTGTTGTGTAGAATAAAACTGAGAGGACTGCATATTAGGCTGAAACTGTGATGACAATGGATAAGGAACCTGTGATAAAACACCACCGGTAGAAGCAGGGATGTGAGTATGATTCTGTGGATTAGAAGAAGAACCATTGACCATTGAAGATCCAGGATGAGTACCAGTCCCTTTCACATATAAGGTTGACAAACTTTGAGACAACATATTAATTTCACCATCAATTTCCTTTTCAGCACCAAGAAGTTGTGCTCTGAACTTTTTGAGAGTAATTGATGACTCTTTAGCAAGAATAATAGTTCTGATTATTGCATAGTCTTTTGGTCGCCCATCCAATCCGGCAATGATAACATCATTGTCTGAGACATACTCCCCTGCAGCACTCAACTGCTCTCTAATGTTTTTCAATCTCAGCAGATACTTATCAATCGAGTCAGTTCCCTTTTGTATAGTATGCAACTCAGTCTTTAGATGATTCACTCTTGATTTTGATACAGAAGCAACCCTATCTACAAGATTCACCCAAGCCTCATGAGCATTCTTGCATCCGAGAACATACTCCATTGCTTCATCAGATAACGTTGCAAGCAAAAGACTTATCAAAGCCATATCAGTTGACTCCCAATCAACATACGCTTTAGTAATTTCCTTGGTAACTCCAAGATCAGTAGACAACACAAACTTTGATGGACACACATCAGTGCTATCGAAATGACCAAACAATTTATAACCCATCAACACAGCTTTAAACTGAAATGCCCATTTGGCAAAATTATCATCCTTCAATTTTATAGTAAGCATCCCCAACAAATTTTCTACTTTAACAGTCGGATTATTCATCTTGACTTAGATCACAGATACACAAAACTCCAGATATGTAATGAAAAGGAAGAGATTGACACTCTTTGCAATTGAAACAAACTGCAAGACTTCGAAGAGACTGAAACTCTTTACTAAGAAAGATTGATACTTTCCAAAATTAACAAGAAAGAATAACACTTGTCGAAGAGACTGAAACTTTTTACCATGAAAGGTTGACACTTTCCAAAATGAGCAAGAAAGAATAACACTTTCTCAAATACTCTAACTTCACAATTATTTCTTCATCAAAACCTTATGAACATTCGACTATACAGTCAATCATCAAATTTCTCAAATTTTACACCAAAAACTTTCTTCAAGACTCTTAAAAAACCAATACCCATGATCAAAATAGCTTCAACCACCGAAAGAAAGATGTCACTTGAATCAATTTCAACGATCGAAGGACACACCCAACTTCAACAGCCTTCCGTAATCGAGACCTTCGAAATTGCAGACAACAAAGCGTCTTCAATCTTCCAGAGCAACGGAAAATTCATCGGTGCGGCGACGAACCTATCCGGCGATGATACCATGATAACTCTTAAGAAATATGACTATGGAAAAATGAAATAAGGAGAGCAGAAGCTTAGAAGAAAAAGGGTTTCAGAATGCTTTGTATTTCACTGTATAAAAATATTACAAGTCTTTACAATGTGTTATATAGCCTCTCAACACACATGGACTATTACAATACTACCCCTTTGTAACTAACTCTCTAACCATCTAACTACTTGAGTGATAGTGGTTATAACCAATCGACAAATCACAATGGCTAATAGGAACCACTCGCCATATGCATATATTAAACTATCAAGGGTTAGCTGGTACTACGAAACGAAATAAAAGATCCCGGGAAAGAACAAGAAGAAGGCAGAAAAGATCCCGGTTTCTGATGTTCTCTCTCAATCTTTCTCGTTCTCAATCTCGTGGTGAAAGCACAAAGTGTGAATGTGAATACTCAGTGCTCGATCACTTTCACTCCTTTTATATCGTCGAATCCTAATGACAATTGGAAGGGGTACTTTCAGTAAAGTTTCCTTGTTTTACACGTCAAAACAAATCCTAGCGACAATTGGAAAATTTTGTGTGTATATAGTAAACCAAATAGGAAACTTTTCATTTTTATTCTTCGTTATCCTAAAAGGCTAAATGTCTTAATTATTAAGGGTGATAAATTAATTACTTAATCAATCAATATCCCTATATTTCAGGAAAGAAATTAATAGAATACTACACCGAATAAGGTCCCGAGCGGTAGGACTAATACCCGGTTAAAATGAATGCATTTCAAATAGGGAATCATCCGCATTTTTGTCAAGTTCGTGTCACGAACCCAAAACTAGAGAGCATACCTTACTTGGAATTCTACAGCATGCATTTCCTTTGAACTTCCAATAAAGTGTCTCTAAATTTTAATCGGAGGGTCAACTTCTTGGGATTTAAACTCATTGGAAATTACCATTGTTTTTGGGTAAAGGAGAAATAATTAACAGTTACTACGCACGCACCACTTAAAATGTAAATCCAATTGTAAAAATTAGAAGAACAAATGAATTAGCTAAGTTTTCCTAACAGTTGTTAAGTCAAAAATAAGTAACGGTTATTAAGTCAAAATTAAGTCCCTCGCAACACTCCAGCAAAGCTTAAATTTGTAGCTACTTCCTCCGCTTCTTGAAATTTTGACTTGGATTTGGATTCGGACTTGGTAGCATGCACCCGTAGAGAGTTCAGTCTCTTGTTCTTCCTATATCAAGCAATTCATCTAGTTGTCTGTTCCACTACTGAGAGCGGTTCAAGACATGTGCTTATTATCTGCGTTAAAATTGAGCTTTTTTGTTTAATCTCTGCTAAACTCTTGCTCTCGACGTGCAAAGGGAACCTTGAGCGATGAAGTAAATCCGAGAGGGCATCGATCGTATAGATCACAACCGCGAAGGGTAAGAATCCATTCATATACAACTTTTTTTGGTATATTATTGAAGGTTCTTATTTATGATAAACTGTGTTAACTCCTCTTTTATACAATCAAATCCTCATATCAACGATGTTAATCTTGCTGTATATAATTAAGTTTATTTATATCAAGAATGTTGAAGTTTTTCTGTAATCTCAGATGAATTAGTTATTTATACGAGCTTAGAATGGTAACGTGGTTTGTAACAAAAACAAAGCTTTCACTGTTGGCCCAAATTTTTTTAGGTATACAACTCAATGTGGCGGTCAGATGTCTCTATATTTTAGAAAATATTAATGAATAATATTGGTGGACTATTGACGATCACACTAAAAAATTTCACATATTCACCTGTTTATTTAGCCCCAAAATCAATATTCTGAAAATCAATGGAGTGGCGGTGATTTGGAGAGGCTACAAAAATAAAACTCGATGAATGCGATGCAGTGTGTCAAATCTTTTGGTCTCCATCTGCTGTTTCTTCCTGCACTTGAACTGCGTACTGTAAGTTCCAAAGGATGTCCTCGAAAGATGGACGGCTCGATTCTGGACAAATGCATTTGTTCATTATAGAGATCACGATCGACAGAGACTCTTGTGAGCATGTGGCTAGAATAGCCGGTTCAACTATCTGCTTCCGCCCGTCTTGGCTATTGAGTGATGCCTGCAGCAAATTGTAGAACCATTTTTCGATCAATAAAAGCGCGCACTTATATGATCACCAAAATCTTGAGAACAATAGGACATGATGAATTCTGCGCATTTTTCGTGTGAAGCGAAAGTATTAATGTAGATAAGCAACAGGTCAGAAGTTAACGAGTTACCATATTATTTTGAAGGATTACTTCTCTTCGAGAAGGCATGGAAGATCCAACGAGAGCCTCGAGTAGTATGTATCCGAAGCTATAAGCATCATCCTCTAAACTTGTCATTTGCCTGATCAAGACAATGTTAAATGTCAACAACTAAAGAACTCTAGTACAAACCTGCAGAAAGTAGACAGTAAAAATATGGTGTAAATTTTACCATGATGTTAGGCCATCTTTTGCCTACAAACAAGACAAGTACACAATCAGAACTGCATGGGAAGAAACAATTATCGCAGGGGTAAGCGATCCTTGAGTCACTATGAGGAGACATACCGTGGATTTATTGGTTTCTTCTGCGAGAATGGACAGTCCATAGTCACTCAATTTTGCCATACCATGCTCATCGAGCAAGATATTGTTCGTCTTTAGGCAGTTGCAGAAGAAACCAGGAATAATTCCGGTATGTAGGAAGTGCACGGCCTTGGCCACACTAACTAGAATTGCCAATCTCTCCGACCAGTTGAGAACCTTTCCAGGACTATTCCCTACATAAACATACATAACATTATTGCTATGCTTAGACAAGAAAAAGATAAGTTTGTGTTTTTCCACCAAGAGTATATTGTGTTTAGGTTTTGAAGATTTACCAGAGAGATGAGCGCGGAATGTCCCATTGGGGACATATTCAGATACAAGATAGACCTTGTTCGGACTGTAATCATCTTGTCCACCACCATCGAGGCAGTGCCCTAAAAGACACACCAAATGCTGGTGCCGAAGCTTGGAAAGCAGATCCAACCGAAGTTTAACATTTCGAATTGTGTACTTTTTCGACAAAGGCAGGCACCTTATAGCAACTTGAGTCCCATTGTATAGTCTTCCTTTGTAAAGCTGCATGCCAAAGGAAAAAAAGAGTAAGAACTTAAAGAACATATATTGTTATGAAAATTACAGTTTCAATTCATAATTATGTTCTGCATTGAAACTATACCTTCCCATATGAACCTTCACCCAAAAAGGCAGAGCTGTTGAAATTTTTCGTAGCTTCCATCAACTCTTCCAAAGAAAATGTCCGGCACACAGGGAGGCCTTGTATCCCTACCTTTCCATCTTGTGAAATAAATCCTAAATAAGCAAAAAGAACCAACTTGATCAGCTTAAATATTCATTCAATGAAACAAAAAAAACAGAGTACATTCTGGTTAGTGATTGACGTACTTGCACTTGTTAGAAGCTCGGTCGAAAACCCAACTGCTGAATTTTCCTGCACTGATTTATGCAGCAAATGCTGCTCCGATATCCCACGAAGGCAATATCTTCTGCAGAAAATGATAAACCCTAAAACCAGAAGCACACTAAGTACAACTAATCCTAGAATCACTCCCACCAAGATCCCTACATTGTTCCCTCCGGACTCTTTCTTCTTCAGGCTGATCACTTCCGTGCAGTGTGCTTGTTCATGCTGGTTTTGCATACCAATGGACAAACAATTCCCACCAAACTTCACAACTCTCTCTTCTGATTCATTTCTTAAGCATGAAGGCAACTTACCCGTCAAACTATTATTCGATATATCGATGAAATTAAGCTTGCTACCGCAGATTAGATTGCCCGAAAGCGAGCCACTCAGCAGATTTGACCCCAAGTTCAAGTAACTAATATTAGGCAAAGAGAAGACTGCAGCAGGGGGTGTGCCTATAAGTGCATTGTGTGACATATCAATGTGTTGAAGTCCACTTAACTTGCCATATTTCACTGGAATCTTGCCGGAGAAGGAGTTTTCACTGACGGAAAGCATGACCAACCCTTTCGGCATTGGAGGCAACACAGAGTTCAATTTGTTCCTGCTCAAATCTAGCACTTGTAAACTGGTTAGGCTACTAAGATCTTGCAATTTACCTTCCAACTTGTTGTTCCTCAAGCTCAGAGTTGTAAGATTGGAAAGCGAATCAAACCAATCAGGGATAGTATCATTTAAGAAATTCTCATCGATTTTAAAAGTTTGAAGCATTGCCATTGCGGAAATCCTAGGTGGGATTGAACCGAAGAGAAAGTTCGAGCTCAAATCGAGATGTTCAAGGGAAGACAACCTATGAATCTTATCTGGAAGTTGTCCCCAAATGCCCAAAGACACAAGGCTAAGATCTCTCAAACTGTTTAGCCTTGAAAGGGTAGTGACAAAAGAATCCAAAGAAAAAGAATCTGATAAAGTTTGGCTTTGGATTGGAAAGCCGTTGAAGTAGCCGCTTTCTTTGGATTGCTTAATCTTATCACCCTTGATTCTGAGCTCAATTACAAGATTGTCCAAGCATGTAATGTTTACTTGACCAAATGAAGAAATCGAGCAGAAATCTAAGCTGTGATTGTTCCAAATTTCTAGTTGTTTTGGGTACTCTAAGTGCTTTCTGAGCTGCAGAAGCACTTGGGTATGTGAGGATTGGAGTTGATGAGTGCCTAGAAGTAAGAAGCTCCATGCAAAACAGAACAGCAGAAATGATCTGAAACACCCCATTACAAAATCGCTTTTCTCAGAAGTGCTTCATGAAGGAGTTAAGTTTCTGAAATCTGCAAAATAAAAGAACCCAATAAAGCAGGAATTGAAAACTTCCAACCTATATTTAAGAATGATGGTAACTATTTGGGGATCATTAAAGATGAAACACAGTTGTGAGTTATGACAGAATCAGATTGGATGATGGGAAATTTCTGAGATTTTAGAGAAACCGAGATAAGATAAAATACAAAAAAGAAAGTTCATACGAGATAAAAGAAAATAAAATGTCCAAAGTTGAGCATTTGAGAAAGTTTCAACAAACATATGAAGCAGGCAGAAACAGAAAAAAATGAGAGTGAAGTTCTAAGTGGATGATCACACTTGCTCCCTAATACACTGTATTAGATTTTCTTACACTACGATATTCTAAAATACTCAAATCCTTTACACAGAGGGATTAAGATTGAGTGCAGAGAGACAGACACGTATGGTGGTCAACTAGCTTAAAAACTCAAACTTGAATTCAACGAGGCAAACTCACACTCTAACTAACTGGCCTATCCCACATCTGTAAAACGAGTTTATTAGATGCAATAAGAATTGTGAAAATATTTAGAAAAATGGGTGTAAAAGATGAGAAAGTTTGGAGAGAGTGGGTGGCGGGTACCTCCAATGAATGCATTAAAGTTCTCCCACATGGTGTTCTTTCTTGGAAAGAAAAGTGGTTTATCTCCAGCATTAATGGAGTAGGCTTTACATAATATTCTGAAACATTAGTTGCCCTCTCTGCGCAGCAACGAGAGAAGTGGTAGACCTCATGAGACCAACTTGAAAACACAAGAAAAATTGTGGAAGGGAGTTCATACTTTTTTATGAAGCAATGACTTATGAACTTGGTATCTTAATTTGTCCTTTTGACTTTCAATTTTGATTTCTGACCGTCTAATATTTTAAAATATGCTAATTTATCCACAACTGACAAAATTGTAATTAAGAGTTATTTCCGTCCATCAAACGAGGAATAGCACAACAAAAAGGTGATAAATTTAACAATTCAGAAAAACTTAACTTATTTTATAGATTAAGAGCTTATAACTAAACTAAAAGTCGAAAGAGTAAATCAGAAAAACTTTGTAAATTGAGAGAGTCTGGCTAGTTTTGTTTTTTTTTTTTTTTAAATTCGATTATGGACACAAAATATGTAAAATAAAAGGGTAAATTGGTAAAAGGAATGCATGTGCTTCGACCTTGTGATTGCTACTTGCCATAACTTTACAGGCTGTGTGCCAAACCAGGACCAAAATCAGCAGCAGACGAAGCCATACAAATTTTCTGAAGCAGTCGGCTAGTTAGAAGATATTTTATATGTACATACAATCATACTAGCACTGCCAAACAAATTGTACTGGATTGGAATGGAAAACTCAAAACTCAAAACTCAAATCTCGATCGCTTCAAATGCGGATTGACGAAATATTAACGTTTTCGAACCCTACACAAGTTTTTACAGCTTTAAACACTGCTAGGTAATCTTCGAGATAAATGACAGTGCCAAGAACCTGCAAGATCGACCAGGTCAATACAACAAGAACCACTAAATCTCAGTCCTCTAATGGTACTGTCTGTCATTGGATTTGTTTGCATCTTTTTCGAATTAGCACTTTCAAGTGAATATGTGGTGTGTATGTAAGGGCTAATTTCTGAGTTTCTGTAATTTTTTTTTAAATTGCATCTGTTGTGCTATGAGAATAGAGGTCGCACTTGGTGCGATGGCAAGTGCCTTCGCCCGTGAGCGGTAGGTCTCGGGTTCAAGACTTGGGAGCAGCCTCTCCATAAATGGGGGTAAGGCTAGCCGACATTCATCTCTCCTAGACCCTGCGTAAAGCAGGAGCCTTGTGCACTGGGTACGACATTTTTGTTGTGCTATGAGAATAGTACACAGCCATGGAAAAAGACAGGAAAGTGTTTGGTATTGTTCACCTGCCTCTAATAAAAAAAACTTTTTTTTTAGAAGTATGTGTATAATTGTTTCTGTTTTGTATTGTTTTAAATCTACGATTTTGAAAAAATAAAAAAAAATTACTTTTTTTTAATTTAGCGAACACAATTAATTTTTTTTTTACTTTTTAAAAAATCCACTTTTAAAAAAAAAATTTAAATAACCTCAAACCAGCTCTAAATAAAGTCGGAGAAAATGCAAGGATTTGCTTGTGCTGGTTGCAGAGCATTTAAGTCCTTATCCACTTCAACAGTAGATTGCAGATACCACATATGCTGTGGTGGGTGCCAAATTTATGTCAATCAAACATGTTAAAGTTACACCTAGAGCAGTTGGACGTAACTAAGTTGATTTATTCTTGTAGTTTCGATTAACATATAGGGTGAAATTAGAAAAAGCTACCCGCGCGTTGCTGCGAGATTAACAATTGCACCAGACACGGCTTGAAACATGTAAAAACAGTGTAACAGCATTAAAATTATTTACAATCAAAAGGATGGAAAATTTTAAAAGACAAAATGTTTAGCTTATGTAATCTATAGGGTAAAAGATTGTAGAATGTTTGGTAATCTACATACAAAAAATAGTCATCCATTGTGCTGCATGAAAGCACTTAGAAACTAAAGATTGTAAAGTGCTAGACTATTTACATGCAAAAAATATGATGCTCCCTAGGTTAGACATAATTATTTACATACCAAAAAATATTGTGCTGTCTAGATTAGAGGGAGCTATTGACATGGTCAAAAATATTAGAGAGATTGTTTGATACATATATTGACAAAGGACTGTAAATTTGATGTCTGAAACAACTGAAGTTTTGGTCAAGCACTTTTCACCACTGGGAAAGTAACCTGGGCAAAGGAAAATGAAAACTAAACATTTAGATCAATGTGGCAAATTTACACCGAAAGAAAAAAATAAGGATAAATGATATTTACCTAGTCTTTTTTTAAAGCAAGAGGATCTGTCGTTGTACAAATCAGTGATGATTTTTTTCTTAACAATTTGATTGGAACTTCATCAATGTCTGTTGGATTTTCTTCTGAATTTTCTTCCACGTCACTAATTTAAATGCAAAAGCAAAATTAACAAACATGAATGCATGATAGTTAAAAACCTGAACATTGTAAAAAACACTGTTTGATTATAACCTTTGTTCACTACTGGTAAAAAGAGACATTCTGACTGATTCTCTTTTTCGTTTATGCGATTGGGCATTTGTTTCAGGTGTGGAAGAAGAAGATGAAACCATTGTTGAAGACACTGTAATTTCCATTAGCAAGGCCTGTGGAGTTGTTGGTTGCACGGTTGTGTCTTCAGAAACATTGGAAATCAAAAGATCATTCGTATTCAAATTATTTTTCCTAGTTCCAAACCGTAGATGAAAAATTTTCTTTTGTCCTATCAACCTCGAGAATTCATTTGGGAGTTGCTGTTGATCCACCAATCTTTGATTCATCACTAAATCTTTGCAGCTTGAGCCAAATAGCTTTTCACCAGATTTACCAATTATCAAAGCATTTGTTTCATTAGTTTCATCTTCAAGAACTAAGTTGACTTTGTACCTGTGTATAAAAACTATGATTAGCCTTTGCAAGTCTGCTTGTACATGAAAGCAGAATTAGTAAAACCTAGAGCTGTGACAAATGATTAAGCATGATGGGATAAAATGTGCATACACATAGTAATTTTAAGTTGAATAACGTATAGGTGAAAATGATTTTTGCCCAAGTGTTTTAAACACCTAAAATTACTTTACATAACCATACAAATATTATGTGTAGACAAACATGGTAAAAAATTGGAACACAGGTTGAGTTCATGCATTTTCAAACGGAGTAGATGATTAACTTTTTAATTTTGTTTAAGGGCTTACAATTTTGGACAATATTTTAAAAAGTTTGAATGTTTTATACCAATGTGTTAATTGTGCAATGTTATCTACATGAAATCAGCAAACAAATAAGTGATTCACCATATTGTTAGAAGTTTGAAAAGAAAAAAAAATAGACATTGCAAATTTTTTAAATGATAAATAACAAAACTAAGCTATAGCATTTGAAATATTACCAAGCAGTCGGAATTTGGCTTCCATGTTTTTGACAAACCAATTGCCCAGTTTGTGGGATCCTTTTGCATTTGTTTGGCACAATTTGGGCAAGCGCTATACCACCAATCATAGTGTGTGTCAAAACGCTTTACACACGCTTTGCACAAAAATGTATCGTCCTGTAAAATATTTTAACAAAATATTTGTATAAAGATAATTGAAAATATACATAGTTTTAACCAAATATATAAAAAAAAGTAGTTATAGATTTAAAAAAAAAAAAAGATAGAGATGTAAAAGCTTTTATACCTTGTGTAAATCTGGATCTAGAAAAGCTAATTCCTCGATGGTCACTTTCTTGGCAGCCTGTAAGACTTCAGCTTCATTGGCATGTTTTGAAGAGGGTGGCAGTTTTTTCACAGCCTCTGTGCAATTGGCAAACCTGCAAAATTGAAAATTTAATATTATTTGAGTTCTTTGATGAAAATAACATGTCTTTGATTACAAAAATAATGAATACGTTTTTACTTTATTTTAAAAATGGTAAATACACTCACACTGATTTGTAAGCATTTAGTTCTACAATGTTTGGATCAATGAAGAAGAGTGAAGAACCAGTACTGTTCAAGACAATGTTCTCTACACATCGAAAAATAATGTAAAAAGCAAGAAGAAAATATTAACAGACACTTTAAACACGTTTATATAACTTTAAAAACGAAATAAAAATTGTCTCATGAAAGTTAACGCCTGTCTAAATAATTATAACATGCTGAGCAACAACTGATTAGATCAGCAGCATTTCAATTTGTATTTACAGCTGCACAGAAAGTTAACGGAACCAAGAAAATGATTAACTATAGTTAATAAGCACCTATACACTGTAATACTTCTATGCCAATTACTCAGAGACAAAGAAATCACTAAATCGAAAGTAAAATGTCAGAAAGCAGCAAGAAAAAAAATAACAATTGTAGTCAGAATTGTGATGACAACTATCGATTTGTAAACCAAAAATATGAACACTGGTTTCATAGACAGTAAATATGTTTAAACTGCTCCATAATAAAACATTGAGAGAGTCTAAATTGAAAAATATTTCAACGTAATAAAAAAAAAAGACTTAATAGATTGGATTTTAATCAAATTAAATACCTAGGTACAACTTTACTTTCAAACTTGTTAAAACAATCATGATTGGTGGGTTGAACGCTTCAGCTGATAAAGAAGAAAAACTTTCTGCAACATTTGCCCATAACGTAACTCTCAACTCTTCTCTCCTGTAGGAGAAGTAAATTTGAAAAAAAAATTTGAATTAGAGGTAGTAAAAAATGTGTGCTTTTCTATTAATAGCTATCAAGTCAATATTATGAAGATGATATAATTGTTTAATAATTTAGAATTGTAAGAGAATATTTAAAACTTGGTGTATTGTGAATATAATACATATGCAAAATAATTTATACAACATTGAAAAAGAAGAAGTAACCTGATATTCTGAATGATTATATCACACTTGGGTTCGATTATCTGATTATTTGTTTCTGTTCCAGATGTTGTACAGCAGTTATACGACCCATGATATCTCGTAATTTAACAAATAAATATTGTTAGATTGCCAAAATTCATTTAAAAAATAAAGACAAAATGTTTTAATACATGTATATATCTATTATTTTTACTTGTTAGAATATCAACCCTATTCAGCCAAGGATAAAGACTGTTATAGTCTTGCAAGTAAAATCGATGTCGAGGGATGGGCGGGAATACACTGTGTTGTTTTTTGAAAGTTGTTTTTCCAGTGAATCACAGTGAAACACTTGAGTGCATGCGGGACAACTCTATATTGACCTCTCATTTTATTCACACGAAAATCCATGATTTCATAACAACCACCAGCTTCGATTTTGGAAGCTATGATCTCGTAGTCTATGTCAACTGTACAGGCCTCAACTGCATGTTGCTTTACAATTCATTAAAGCAGAAAAAGGAAAAAAAGTCAGAAGCATAATTAACAAACGAAATAAAAACGAAGATAATGTTGTTTTAACAACAACATTAGCATGTATACATTGAATAGTAATTATAGAAACACAGAATGTATACAATTTTCCTAATCAGGTTGAAACTGAAGACAGCGTACCACTCCATCGAAAAAAAATTGTAATCCTAACTTTACCAAACCAAACAACCACTTGAAACTAAGTACAGAATACTTGCAAAAATCCTTTATTAATTTGAAAAACATAAAATTTATTGGTTAATATGTAAAAAAATGATAAAAAAGAAAAATGTCATGTCCATTGTTAATTATTCTTGTCATAAATTTTAATTAAAATAATAAAATAATGACTTCTCACCATTTCATCAACTAATATACAACGAAGGCCCGAATATTTTTCAACACTTCCAGAAAATCTTGGTCTCCATATTCTGCACACTCGAACTTTTATTTTGAGCACTTTTGTATAAGGGCGCAGTAAATGGATAGGAGTAGCAGCTGTGTTTTCCATTTAGGCTGCTAAAATCAAATGTAAATTTTATAAGTCTAAAAATAATTATGATAGAAAACTTAAAAGAAACATTGAAATCATGAAAGAGAATAAAATTTGTTTATGAAAATGAAAAAAAAATGCATTAAAAACATTGACCAAAATACGTCCCCTATTATTAGCCAAGGGTCAAGAATTTGTGGGTTGTTGTCTACTATATACTGGCAGCAAACATTTTTTTTGCATTGAGTTTAACCACACACGTAAATAGTTCACAAACTCAGAGAGCATTATCGGAAAGGAAGTTGAACCAAAAAAACTTTAAACAAATTGGTGCAAATCCTTGAGCATCTCGTTACAGTTTATGATCAATTTAGAAATAAAGATGAAAGGTCAATTGAAACTTAAATGGAAAAGCGATCAAATAATGTTTAAAAAAATTCTAAATTTTTTTTGTAAAAGTTTATGAATTGGTTTAGTTTCAACAACCTATTCAACAATTTACACGGAGAAATGTTTTTGCCACAAAATGAAAATCTGTAAAGAAAGCCTGTATTCAAGTGGGAAGCATCAATGTTAATTTGAAATGAAATTTTTTTTTTCAAATAAAGATGAAATGCCAATTAAAACTTAAATGAAAAAAGGACCAAATAATGCCTCTAAAAATTATAAATGTTTTCTGTAAAAGTTAATTGAGAAGATGAAAACAGTGACCCACTTTTTGTTAACAAACATCTGTGCAACAGTTTTGGTATAAAAAAATTTGCCTTGGTGGCTAAATTCTCAGGTAATCAAATTGCTAAGCAGCATATACATAGCCAACAAATCAGATAAATTAGATATTTCATGTATATTTAATATATTAGAGTATAAAACATAGACCAAATGTGTAAGCTTTAGGTACTCAATCACAGCAGCACATTATTTTAACAAAAACAGAAAAATATTGCATGAATTTTTTTTTTCTGCGAAAAAAAAAGAAACAGGGGAAGGCAAAAGCTTTTCCCCCTATACATACTTGCTAAGTTATCATAATAAACCACAACAACATGTAAAAAGATTTACAACACATGGATAAAAAATACCCTTTCTCAATACACTTTAGCCAACCATTTTGTGGGCTTTAACAGCACCATCATTGACTAACTAATAATGTTATGCAAAACTAACATAATACTGCAACTGCAGAATAAGAATAAGCCACAAAAATACATGACAATAAGAGAAAGTAAAAGAACAAAGAATAATGAAAGCCAACCAAATAGCCTCAACTAATTGAACACTTAATTTCTGTAAATCCAAAACTAATAGCTCATTATACATACTTGCCAAGTTATTACAATAAACCACATCAATACATAAAAAGCTTTACAACACATTCTAATTAAAATCTAAGGAAAAAAAAAGTTAGGCTTTTTCCATTTTAAAATCGAAGAAACAAAACCCACAGATTTAAATAACGATGTGAATCTTACCCTCAAATGTTTCATAAGCACAGAAACTATCCAAGATCTTGTTCTCCCTTTGCAAATGCAACCTGCAAAACAAATAAAAAAAAAAAAAAAACGAAAGGGTAAGTAACAAAGCTCAAAAACCCTAGCACAAAAATGTCATAAACAGGATAAAAATGGGCAAAAATACATATAAACGTGTCACTATAAGAAACCTAAAGTGCTGCCCTTTTAAAAACAGTTTAAAAACAAATTATTGTAAATAACTGATATCGCAATGAAAGAAACCTAAAGTGCTGCCCTTTTTTTCACCGATGAAAAACCTGACAGCAACACACAAAATACGACGACGATTGAACAAAAATTTGGGAGCAGCGGAAGAAAAAATGAAGAGCAAAACGAAATAACCTCTGAGAACTACACAGAACGACAGAGAAAAAAGTGAGAGCAAGAAGAGAAATGAAAATCTGGGAAAGAAAAAGCAAACAAACCCAACAAAGAACACATCGATCATCGACACTTGGCAACTATAATACACACCTTTTCATAAAAAAATTAATTAAAAAATACAACCAAGAAAGCATCTGGAAGATGGAGGGAAAACAAAGGATAGAAAAGGGAAGAGAGAGAAACAAATGCTGAGATAAGAACACATCGATCATCGACACTTGACACCTATGATACACACCTTTTCACAAAAAATTAATTAAAAAATACTACCAAGAAAGCATCTGGAAGATGGAGGAAAAACAAAGGATAGAAAAGGGAAGAGAGATAAACAAATGTTGAGATTGGATAAAGAGAGGCGTGTATGGCATATCCACCACAAAAAAATAATTAAAAAACAGCATCTGAACATGCAGCAGAGGATTTGGGTTTTAAAAACCAATGAAGTGGATGTATCCCAGAGAAGAAAGCCAAAAAGTAAAGAAATATCACCCAAAACACACATGATGAGGGACAGGTGGAACGAAAAAGACATAACTGTCATTTAACTGTGCAGAAACTGATAGGAATGTGTAAAAGCGTCATCTCACTGTACCAAGCAGATAAGACCACCAGAACAAAGAAGACACCAAGGGGTATTTAAGCCATTACACTGCTCGTGAACAGTGTTTTCCACCAGGTTTTAGTATATAGATAATTTGACAGCAAAGCAATAGGAGCAAGGGTGAAATAAAAGAAAAATGGGTGCCTCCTTCCAGGCAGAAGTGGCCAATTCACTTTTTTGATGACTGCTTTATCTAGAACACAACCAACAATGAAAAGTCGGGAAGAAGAGCAATCATACATAAATTTTTATTGTTTGTTGTGCCAACTCACTTTTTTTTAATATTTTTTCTCTCACCACCTGCATTTTTATCACATTTTTTAATATTTTGTTTTTGTCATTCATAAGTTTTTATTGTTTGTTGTGCCACAAATCATATGGCCGTTATAAATTGTTATTGTTTATTGTGCCATTTCACATTTTTTAATTTTTTTTTGTCTTGCCACATCATCTTTATCACATTTTAAAATTTTTTATTCCATTTCAGTGAAACCTAAACCCTAAACTGGCACAAATGTTCAATTCTTATAGATAAGCTTCACCAACAGTATGTGCACACTACGACCAAATGATCCTGATGACCAACAAGTGGAACTAACATCCAGCAGCAGATAAAAATGGAAGAAGCTGGAACCCTAGAAAACACAACACGCACGCACGCACGGACGGAAAGAAAAATGAAAGAGGGGCAAAATGGCCAATTCACCATTTAACCCCACTAAAGCTGAAAAAACATGAAGAGAAAGAGGGGCAAAACTGGTGGAGCACTGTTAATGAACAGTAGTTTTCCACCGGGTTTTAGTATAGATAAAATATGAGAGAATCTTTTGGTATCGTTGCAGCACTGGTATAATATAGATGGACACAAGTGTTTTAAAATGGTGATCTTATGGTTAAATATGAAAAGATAAATCGACTATATATAAGTGTAATACTCAAATTAGTCAGAATCGATATTGAATTTGTTGATGCACAAAATCAGCGAGGACTTTGGTACAACAGAAAGTGTCAAGTTTGTGACTTTCGCTAGATTGCTCCGGTCACTAGTGTAGATAAGTATGTAAATGGATAGAGGCAGAAAAGCAAACACAAGATGTACTTGGTTCACCTAGATTGGCTACGTCCACGGAGTAGAGGAGTTCTCATTAATTGTGAAGGGTTTACACAAGTACATAGGTTCAAGCTTTCCTTTAGTGAGTACTAGTGAATGATTTAGTACAAATGACATTAGGAAATATTGTGAGAGAATGATATCCTTTTATAGAAGAGTCTCTAGCTTTGTTCTGACTTTGACACGTGTCATGTTGTGATTGGCCTCTGAAGTTGACATATGTCACGCTATGATTGGCCTCTGATGTTGACACGTGTCGTGCTGTGATTGGCCTCTTGGTTGGAGGGAAACTCTTGTGGATCATTGACAGTATAACGTTGACCAGTGCTCAGTAGTTTCGGGATTGGTCAAGTATGGTACAAACAGTGCTCCCTTAAGTTCCCGAGTGAGGGAAGCTCCTCGTTTGGGGACTTGCAAGATCCAAGCCGTTGAGTAATCACGAAACTTCTAAGTATTAAAGTGTGGTATCGTTTTCACTTGCCTTATTTGTCTCATAGGTAGATGTGACATCTTCTCTAGAAGTACTTTTCCTCCATCCAGGGGTGGTATCTTTAACCGATGTAGATGCACAAGGTAATGTATCAATTTCACTTGAAGCTTACTTGTAGTTTCGGATTTGGTCAAGCGTGATACAAACCCTATAATAGAAGTCCCCCAAGTCTTTGAGCAAGGAGATCTGTCGAAAGAGGTGACAGACAAGGTAAGCAATCAGTCCTAGATCGGAAGTTTGATTTCGAGCTCCGGCTGATTGTTCTCATTTTCCCTATCTTGTAGGCAACAAGAAGGATAAAGAGAAGAAAAATAAGAAGAGATGATATGAGATATTTTTGCTTTTGAAGAAGTAACTTTCCACATGCTTATTCTTGAACCTGGCTTGAGGGTTTTTTGGTTTCCTACAAAGTATAAGGCCGACTCAAGAATTTGAGGGTCAAAACAAGTCTATCAAATCTAGAGTACGTTCGACCCTGATGATATAAGATACTTTTGCTATTGACAAAGTAGTGGATGTGGCATGGCGAGGCTTTACTTTTTGGTGATGGTGTCAACAAAAGGTTGTTAAAGCTTCTTGAGCTATTCGGATAGGGCAACGATGTCGAGCTTGGCTTTGACTTAGACTCATCCGTCTGGATTATATGGTTCTGCAAGGAGGGCGTTGTGCTATAGTGATCTGTTCCCACTCATCGTTGAACCTTCTGCTCCAATCTTTTGCATCGCATAAATGGTGCGCAACCTTTGCATTTGAATGGTCCTTCAGAGCACTACTTCTTAGCGACTCATCCATGTGTGGCAGCTTCAGTGTAAAGCGTCAATATCGTATCAACTGTTCTGAGGTATTTGCCAAAGGACTTCGTGACCTTGACAACAGCTAAGGATGAGTACTCGAGAGCAATGTTAGGTAAGTAACCATGCAAAGATTCTGGGCAATCAGTTCCAGATCGGAAGTTTGATTTCAAGTTCCAACTGATTGTGTTTATTCTCCTTGTCATGCAAGTAAGAGCAAAGGCAAAGGAAAAGACATGGAAAAAGCATGATATGGGATACTCTTGCTTTTGACCCTGATGATATGAGATACTCTTACTCTGGTGTGGCTGGTTTGCATAAGTATTATTGGGGGGAAGAAAGCTGAGTATTTCGAGAGGCTTTGTTGGGAGTGCCCTCTCAGATATGAGGAAGGGTTGAGCATTTTTGCAGGTCTGCCTGTCCGTTGAGGATGAAGGTCGACATATATAGGAGTCTCCCTAACAACAAGTAGTAATGTTATTCCTTTACCCTTTTTGGTCATAACAATGTAGTGGGAGCTGCAAGCTTCACGTGATTTAACTTTGTCAAAGCACTTTGAAAAAGTGGTCTATGGTATTTGGAAAGCTGATGTTGCGTGTGAAGATTGCAAACAAGCTTTTTGTCCAATCACATCCATTCATCGTACATCGTGTGATCAGTTTTTGTTAGGTACAGTTTATATTCAATTTTAAATAATAAAAATTACAATAATTTCTGACTGCACGATGTACAATAACCGAATGTAATTGAAGGATCATTAAGATCCTCACAAAGAAGATCCGACGAGGATCCTCCTGGTCCATAATAGACTTATTGGCCAAAATCAGATAAGGCTAAGACTTGGGAACACAAAGCTGCAGAATCCTGGTTCATAATAGACTTCTTGGCCAAAATCAGATAAGGCTAAGACTTGGTAACACAAAGCTGCATCTTGCATGGTCATATGTAGTGGCCAAGGCTAAAAACAGACAGTACTATATATCGTCTTCATATTTACCTTTTAGACGAGACCTACCAATTCTTGGTTTCACCTTTGGCATCATCAAATACATTTATGACATAAGCATTTTATCATCAAAATGAAAATATAGAAACAATAATTTATGGTTGTTTACTTGTCAGTAATGGATTTGAAAAAAGGGTACAATTTAGGACATTTGGCCCTAAAAAGGGTACACTTTCTTTGGATGATCACACTTGCTCCCTAATACACTATATCAGATTTTCTTACAAGTCGATACTCTAAGATACTCAAATCCTTTACACAGAGGAATTAAGATTGAGTGCAAAGGGACAAACACGTACAATGGTCAACTAGCTTAAAGATTCAAACTTGAATGCAACGAGGCAAACTCACACTCTAGCTAACTGGCCTATCCCACGTTTGTAAACCGAGTTTATTAGATGCAATAAGAATTGTGAAAATATTTAGAAAAATGGATGTAAAAGATGAGAAAGTTTGGAGCGAAAGTGGGTGGCGGGTACCTCCAATGAATGCATTAAAGTTCTCCCACATGGTGTTCTTTCTTGGAAAGAAAAGTGGTTTATCTCCAACATTAATGGAGTAGGCTTTACTTAATATTCTGAAACAGTTTTTGCCCTCTATGCGCAGCAACGAGAGAAGTCATAGACCTCACTGAGACCAACTTGAAAACACAAGAAAATTGTGGAAGGTAGTTCTTACTTTTTATGAAGCAATGACTTATGAACTTGGTATCTTAATTTGCCCTATCGACTTTCAATATTGATTTCTAACCGTCTAATATTTTAAAACATGTTAATTTGTCCACAACTGACAAAATTGTAAATAAGAGTTATTTCCGTCCATCAAACGAGGAATAATACAACAAAAAGGTGATAAATTTAACAATTCCGAGAAACTTAACTTGTTTTATAGATCAAGAGCTTATAATTAAAATGAAAGTCAAAAGAGTAAATCAGAAGAACTTTGTAAGCAATCATTAATAAACCAAGAAAATTAATTATAAAATATATGAAAATGTACGTAAAAGTTGTCCGAACATAAAAAAAAAACTACAACAAGTAGTCGTATGGGTTTAATGCATCAGGCTACTGAGTATCGGCTGGGCGAAGTGGCTGGGAGGTCGAAGGTGGAGCAAGATTAGGTGCTGGCATCGGGATTTGGAGGCCGGACATCTGTAAGGCCCGTAAGATCATGCTCATCTTCTCGCCCAAGGCCGCAATCTTCTTGCCCTTGGCTGCAATCTTATCGCCTTGGGCCGCAATCTTATCGCCCTCGGCCGCAATCTTAGCTTTTAGGGTTTCCACTTCCTTCGTCAAGGCAATGACCTGTGCTGTGGTTGATCTGGAAGAGGAGGCACCCGTCTCACGAACCCGCGCCTTCCCTATACCCCGAACAACCTTGCCATGATGATGACCGAACTTCTGATCCAGAACGAAACTACAACAGGTAGCGATGCTGCTATGCTGCTGTGAGGTAGCCACTCCACGATGTCGCGAGTCATACGCAATCTTGATCAATTTGTTGGACCTACGTACGTTGTGTACCAGCTTCAGCATTCGATTAGGCCGCCTGGTGTTTTTTTTAGCTGCCCAAAATAACTTAAATGGTGAAAACCCTAATCTTAAATTTCTACAAAAAATTTAGCAAAACCTCCCTTAATAGTATATCATTTCCCAAACCTGAAAATAGTAAAATAACATTAATTCACACCCACAACACATTTTCACAATGCAGCAAATTTTCACAATCATAAAAATAATAGTTTTAAAATGACAAAATACAACGTAGAAGGAATTAGAAAAAACTAACTGGCTGGGAGCCCCCACCCTCGATTGTGGATGCAAAGGAAGTGTGATCAGAAGGCTCCGGATGGCAGCGGCGCCGAAGAGGCCGCCGTGCACTGAGTGGCTGAACCGACACTGATGACGCCGATGATGCGGGCACCTGGGATGCCCTAAGAGTAGCCTCAGTAAGCGATGTAGGCTCCCCAATCAATGGAGCACTCACAGATGAAGCAGTAGGTGCTGAAAATGCGGGCGGCGCATTGGTCACACCTCAACGACAAGTGATCAACTGCGACATCTATACAATTTTTGAACCATAAAAATATAACATTAGAAACTAATCATTTCTTGCATTTGAAACTAATCAATTAGCAGCCAAAGTAATATCATATCCTTTCTTGTGTTTGTTCACATATATATAAAGCAGTATTGCAAAGGTAGAAACAATACCAATTCAAAAGAAGTTTTGGTTGATCAACTCCAAACACATGTTTTACTTGAAATAGCTAAAACAATAAATATAAAAATATACACACATGTGTATAGTTTCATGCCGTGCAAGCTAGGTTCATTTAGTTTCCTTATATACATCCACACATATATACTAAGAAATACAAATATACACTAGCTATTATGCATATCGTGCCCCCTATGACCTGCCCATGGCCTAGGCTCCACCACAGCGCTAAGCTGATAACTACATTCTTTCATATGCATAACAATCAAATACCTATGTATTAAAGCAAACGGAATGAGTATAACTACACTAGGACAAACAATACTTAGGAAAAGAATGAAAGCAACAGCGCACCACAAGCCATAAACACACTAGAAAGTCATAACCTATCAGACCATAAAGTTTTAATTTTGAAGAGCACGCCATTCTAGAATATCTAGAATGAAATATAAAACCATTACGCAGAAAAAACATATAATCCATAAAGATACAAATTTGTGAAATTTGTGGGACTTGATGTACAAAGCAAAACTCAAGCCTCACAATTGATCACAAGCAGAAACATATGATTGAATTCAGGTTTACAATCATAAAGTTTTGTGGGTACAACACTTCATTAACTACGGAAGGCAACTACTACCCTCAAAGTCTTATTGACTCATAAGACTTGCAACATAGATAGAGGTTTTACATAGAAATCACACATCAAAAGGCCATAACTGGAAAATCAAATAATGGCACTTAATATCAATTGTAGCAACCGAAACACCAATACAAGCCGTAAAATAGTACGATTCTTCAAGGCTTTATCACATTAAAGTTCAGCTTCCACTTCATTATATTTAATGGTTCTCACAGCAAATTGAAAGCTTAAGAAAACACTCTAGTATTCAAGATTCATAAATGGCTTTCAAGTCCCAGTACAAGGTAAACGACTAAGTTTAAATGACCATACCAAATTCTACTACCCCATAAATTTTACAGCAACCTATTTCCAGAAATTCATAATATCAAGAAAATAAATAAATTTATTAATTTATTTTTTACTAGAAAAGATAACAAATTATAAAGGAAAAAGAATGAGAAAAAGGAAAATCAGCAAAAAAGCTAGCTGAAGAAAGCAAACAAGTACAGACCTTCCATATTAGCAAGCACCATTGTCATCCATAGTGGATGAGCTACCAAGATCAACCAGATACAAACTGAATTCCCAACCTCTATCTCCATTTCTCTCACTTGCATTTTACAAGTCTCAGATCCAAAGGGTATCTCACCCCCAAACACACCATCCCAGAAACCCCCCAAAACCAACCCAACTCACTCAGATTACCAAATCCCAGCTCACAAATCTCACCCTAACAACAAACTCACCATTACCCGCTTCCCCAAATCATAAAAATCACCCACTCTACCAAAAACAATCCACCGATTAAAGCAAAAAGCAAAACATTGAGAGAGAGAGAGAGAGAGAGAGATGTGAAGGGACCTTCGGAATTGAGGAAACGGCAAGGAATTCCGATGGAGTTGAAGCGGAGGAGGAGCAGATGGGTAGGTAGTGGCTGCTGTCTTCCTTCGTCTTTGTCTTCGTCTAACGGAGTGGGAGAGAAGAGCGAGATGGAGTTAAAGAGCCACATCCTCAGTCAACTCAACAGTGCCAACTAGGATCCAAGTCCTTAGTACAGTCAGCAATTACTTAGTGTATAAGTTTAGTGTTACTTTAGTATTGTAACTAATCTTAGTTTAATGTTAATTAGTTACAATAGTTAATATCTAAGCTTTATTTTAGCTTACTGGTATAAATACCATCATGTAAATCATTTCTTCAGTTAATAAGAAATATCTTTCTAAATATGGTATCATCCCTTTCTGCTTAACCGTCTTTCTCTCTCTCTCGATCCTCTTTCTCGTTTCCTGCGATCTCTGATCTTTGCGATCTCTGATCTTCGTGGTTGTTGATCTTCGCAGTTTCTGTGACCTTTGCGATCTGCAATTTTTGTGATTTCTGTATTTGCTGCAATTTGTGATCTTCGACTCTTGAGACCTGTCGTCGTATCTTCGATTTCTGGAAGGTGGAAGCAATTGCACTATCAGTGATCTTCGCTCTTTTGCACTCTCTATGATCTGCTGAATCTATGACTTCATCAACTTCTTCTCCAACGGATCCTGAAGTTTTTGCCCCAAATTTGGCCCCGATGAACCCTAATTTGGCTTCAGTTCCTCTTTCTCCCTCAACTTCTTCTATTTCTATTCAGAATAGCTGTATGGTTCCTACAAAGCTCAGACGCGATAATTACCTTGTTTGGAAGGCTTTATTTGCTCCGATCTTTCGTCGGTATAAGCTTATAGGAATTGTTAATGGCTCTGAAGCTTGTCCCTCGCCGTTTCTTCTTGATGAATCTGGCTATACCACTGCACTTCCAAATCCTGCTTTTGATCTATGGTATGAAAAGGATCAAAATATCCTTATTTGGTTGAATTCTACTCTTTCGGAAGATCTTATTCCTTTCACAGTTGGTGTCCAATCCTCTCGAGAACTTTGGCTCACTCTTGAACAACGTTTTGGAGGCGTCTTAGCTGCTCATATTCACCAACTTCGTTCTCGCCTTCACTAAGTTTAGAAGGGTGATCTACCTATTTCAAAGTACATTCAACTCATCAAGAACATTTCAGATGCACTCATGGCTGCTGGAGCTCCAGTTTCTGAAAGTGATCTGATTGATATCACACTACAAGGTCTTTCTGATGATTATGAGTCTTTCATCGACTCGATTATGCTCCGCATCTCGTCCACCTCTTTGGATGAACTCCATGGATTGTTGATTAATAAGGAGCTCTTTATGAATCGCAAAAAGAAGTCTGTTGTTTCTGAACCATTTCAGGCTTATGCAGCTCACTCTTCTCAGCCTCCTCTTCTTCCTACACCACAGGGCTATTCTCCACATCATTCTCGGGCCACTTACTCTCGTGATCATTCTCAGGGCACTCACTATCGTGGCAAAGGTTCTTTCCGGGGCCACAACAACAACTTTCGTGGAAATAATGCTCATGGTAATTATCGGGGCAATTACAGAGGTAACTCTCATAATTTCAATCGCAATTTTGGAGGCAATTCCAGAGGTAACAACACTGGTTCTAAATCTCCTTGTCAAATCTGCCATTTTCTTGAACATGAAGTTATTGACTGTTTCGAACGAATGAATCATGCCTACTCTGGTAAAGTTCCTCCTGCAAAACTGGCAGCTATGTGTGCTCAAACTAACTACAAACCCTCTGCTCCTACTTGGCTCATAGACTCCGGAGCTACATCACATATCACTAATGATGTTTCTGCCCTTCAATCTCCAATGCCTTACAATGGTCAAGATAAGGTCTATATCGGTGATGGTCAAGGTATGCCAATTCATCATATTGGTACTACCACTCTTCGAACTCCTCTTGCTAATTTTCGTTTAAATAATGTTCTTCATGTCCCTGCAATGAAGCATAATCTTCTATCTGCTTATCAATTCCTAAGAGATAATCACTGCAAATTAACCTTTGATTCTGATGGATCTAAAATCAAGGATCGTATTTCGAGGAGGATGCTTTTTCGGGGCCCTGTTAGTTGTGGCTTGTATCCATTTCAAGGCTCACGAACTGCTTTCAACTCTCATTCTGCACTTGTTAGTACAACAACTTCTTTACAAGTCTGGCACAACCGGCTCGGTCATCCCTCATCTGTTATCTTCAGAAAGACTTTGAATAATAGTTCTATTGCTTATCGTGGTAAAAAGTTCACTTCGTTCTTTTGTTCAGATTGTGCAATTGGCAAGAATCACAAACTGCCATTTATTACCAGTGTTAGTACCGTGTCTGTTGCTTTAGAACTTGTGCATTGTGATGTCTGGGGACCTGCCCCTACATCTTCTGTTAGTGGCTATCGTTACTATGTCTTGTTTGTTGATGAGTTTACAAAGTATAGCTGGTTCTTTCCACTGAAGTTGAAATCTGAAGTGTATTCCATCTTTGTTCATTTCAAGAGCTATGTAGAAAACTTACTTGGAAATAAAATCAAGTTCTCAGAACTGATTCAGGGGGTGAATTCACTGGTACTAATTTCAAGTCTTTTATGCTTCATCATGGTATTATGCATCAGTTTTCTTGTCCTCACACACCAGAACAAAATGGTTGTGTTGAACGGAAACATCGACATCTCACAGAAACTGCTCGCACTCTGCTCACTGCATCAAAGGTTCCTCATAAATACTGGGTTGAAGCATGTTCTACTACCTTATATTTGATCAATCGGCTTCCGATTTCTGGTCTTGCACTTTCTCCATGGGAACTGTTATTTCACAAGTCTCCTGACTACTCCAAGCTTAAAGTGTTTGGTTGCAGCTGTTATCCGTGGCTCAAACCATATACTACCTCAAAGTTGGATGGTAAAAGTGTTCAGTGTGTTTTTCTGGGTTATAGCTTGCAGCATAAAGGCTACAGATGCCTTGATCCTCTTACATCCCGCGTCTACATCTCAAGACATGTTTTGTTCAATGAAATCCACTTTCCTTTTCATGATTTTAAATCTTCTTCTGTGTCATCATCACAGCAATCCATTTCTTATCTTCCTACTTTTACCCTTCTTTTTTTAATAACCTGTCCCACACCACCCTCCCTCTTTCAGTCACCTCTCCCACTTTCCCCTAGTGCTTCCAGTCCTGTTAATGTACCACAACCCCAAACCACTAGTTCATCCAGTCCACCTTCCTTATCTCCTCCTACTTCTCCTTCCCCATTACCCCAACCCCATATCCCTGCCAACACTCATTCTATG